GGTAACAGGGCCCGCCGCTGCCAGGGGAGGGCTCCGAGCGTCCCTCCGGCTGCGTGGCCTCTCACTCCGCCACTCTCTGCTTCCTTCCAGCTGCAGAAGCTGCTGCAGATGCGGCGGAAGGTGGTGTTGGAGGAGGAGCAGCGGGACAGCGGGAGCGAGCAGCGGGGTGACGAGGATGACATCCCCCTGGGACCCCAGTCCAACATCAGCCTCTTGGACCAGCACCAACACCTCAAAGAGAAGGCAGAAGGTGAGGGAGCGGCTGGTGGCAGGTCTGAGTGGCTTTCAGGGGGTGATGAAAGGCCCTCATTGTTTCCCTGACTCTTCCCCCAGCTCGGAAGGAGTCAGCCAAGGAGAAGCAGCTGAAGGAGGAGGAGAAGATCCTGGAGAGCGTGGCAGAGGGCCGAGGTGAGTAGCGGGAGCTCTGTTTCCCAGAGCCGTCTCTGGAGCTGTCAGGGCAGCAGTAAGCGTATTGCCTACTTTGTAACACTCGGGGATGTTCACATCAGGGGGTGGGATGGGAGATCAGAACGAGATCCCTTGTTTGGTATCCAACTGCCTGGCTTAGCTGTGACAGTGCTGTGGCAGGCGGATGGGCCCCTGGGATGCAGCACTTGGTGTTCGTGTACCCCGAGGGGCTGTCAGGGCTGCTCCTCTTCCTCCTCTGCCTCAGAACGCGGTCTCCTAAACTGCCCAAGCAGCTCTGTGCTGAGGTTAAGCCCATCTGGAGATGGAGAGTTTGCACTGAGCTCATCAGCTTTGTTCTTGCAGCTTTGATGTCGGTGAAGGAGATGGCAAAGGGCATCACCTACGATGATCCAATTAAAACCAGGTGCGTCTCACAAAACAGGTTGGCTTTCTGGAGGTGTCGCCTCCTCGTGGAGGAGCACTGCTCTGCAGCCACGGGCTTTCCTCTGGCTTCTTACCACTGTATGTAAGATAAAAGGATGTTGAGTCACCTTGGACGTTGTTTTATTCACAGTAAAGTTTGCTAAAGCACATTTATGTTAAACTTGATGACCTGAGGTGGAGCTACAGGTTTTGGAGGTGACTAAGCTGGAGGAAGAGACAGGGGTAGCCTACAGGGCCAGTGCTGCCTGAGGCAGCGTTAGGGAAATGATCAAGATCTGTCCAAAAGATTTTGGCGTCTTCCGTCCACCGCCCATTGACTGTTCCCAGCTGCGAGGTTTGGACTCCTCACTGAGATTTTGGGGAAACGTTTAATGCATGGCACTGGCTTAGGATCTGCTCCTGGGCTGACACCGTGAAGCCCTTTGGTGTTTCCTGATTTCCCTGGTGCGACAGCAGAGCCTGATGTGGGGGGTTCCCCTGTGCCTCCATGGGGGCTGCTGGCTGTGCAGCCCCAGCCTCATTCAGCACCACGACCTTTCCGTGTTGACTTCGCAGCTGGAGAGCACCTCGTTACATCCTGGGCATGTCGGAGGCACGGCACGATCGCGTGCGCAAGAAGTACCACATCCTGGTGGAGGGGGAAGGCATCCCGCCCCCCATCAAGAGCTTCAAGGAGATGAAGTTCCCAGCAGGTGGGCCCAGGAGGGAGCCTGGCAGGGCAGGGGACAGCGTCCGCCTGGGACATGGACATTAGCGAGCAAAGCTGTCGAATCTTCAGTGTCACCTTAGCAGGGTCAAAGCTTAAATTCCCAATGGTGGCTGTGTCGCACAGCTGCTGGCCTGGGGGGTGTTTGTCACTGGTGGAAGAGCTGCTGCTGGGACGTGAGTAGGAGGGATAGAGTGGGAAGACTTTAGGTCGTGAATGTGTGTGTCCCTTGTTCTGTGACAGCTATCCTGAGGGGTCTGAAGAAAAAAGGAATCCAACAACCAACACCTATACAGATCCAAGGCATCCCCACCATGTGAGTGCTCTGGCCCTGTCCTAGAGTGGGGGGTGGTTGCTCTCTGCAGCTCACCCAGCTGTGTGAGCTGGGCTCCCTTCCCCAGTGACAGATGCGTCCTGTCACCTTGCTGAGCCCTGGAAGTTTGAGCCATTCTGTAACGCTTCTCCTCACCGTTGGCTCTGTTTCCCTGCCAGCCTTTCGGGAAGGGACATGATTGGCATCGCGTTCACTGGCTCTGGGAAGACCTTGGTGTTCACTCTCCCGGTGATCATGTTCTGCCTGGAGCAGGAGAAGAGGCTGCCGTTCTCGAAGCGAGAAGGACCCTACGGCCTCATCATCTGTCCCTCAGTGAGTGTTGTGGATGTGGTGACATGCGGGAGGAAACTTTTATCAGTGTTCAGTGGCAATCCCAGATCCTCCCTGCGCGGAGGTGTAGGAATGAATGTCTTTCTCTGCAGCGGGAGCTGGCCCGGCAGACTCATGGCATCATTGAGTACTACTGTCGCCTGCTCCAGGAGGACGGCCTGCCCCCGCTGCGCTGCGCCCTCTGCATCGGGGGCATGTCAGTCAAGGAGCAGATGGAGACAATCAAGCAGTAAGACCTTCTAGGGGAAGTTGTGGGGCTGGAGCTGCGCCGTTTTCTGGCACGGGTCTAAGGGGTGGCACACTGGCTGGATGGCTTCAGGGAGGCGTGGGGACGAAAGTGATGCGTGCCCCGTGGGTGGCAGTCTGAGTGCCTGACTGTGGCCCTCTCTCGTCCCACAGTGGTGTGCACATGATGGTGGCAACCCCTGGGCGGCTGATGGACCTGCTGCAGAAGAAGATGGTGAGCCTGGACATCTGCCGTTACTTGGCCTTGGATGAGGCTGACAGGATGATCGATATGGGCTTTGAGGGGGACATCCGTACCATCTTCTCCTACTTTAAGGTACCGAGCTGGCACCATGTGAGTGCCCTGAAGCTCAAGCCCTGCACGCCCCTGATAGAGCGAGTGCTAAATCCTTGCCTGCACTGCGTTCCCTGCGCAGGGCCAGCGGCAAACCCTTCTCTTCAGTGCCACCATGCCCAAGAAGATCCAGAACTTTGCCAAGAGTGCTCTGGTCAAGCCCATCACCATTAATGTTGGGAGAGCGGGTGCTGCCAGCCTGGACGTTGTGCAGGTGAGGTACTTGGGTGCTCCCCCATGCCTGCGTGGGAGGCCAGCACCGTTTATGAGGGCACTCGATGCATTCTTTCTCCAGGAGGTGGGTGGGGTTCATGGCCCTCCTTCCCAGCAAGTTAAGGGGTACCAAGCAACGGCAGTTTCTCTACTGCCTGCCCACTCATCTCTGTGCTTGTTCTTAGGAAGTGGAATACGTGAAAGAGGAGGCCAAGATGGTGTACCTCCTCGAGTGCCTGCAGAAGACCCCACCACCCGTGAGTAGTGCGCTCTGGCTGCTGTGGCAGCGTGGCTGGGGGCGGCATGGGTGGAGCTGACAGTGGGGACACGGGTGTGACACTGCAGGGCTCAGCTACGTGTGGGGTAGATGCGAGTGAGCTGTGCTCCACGTATGAGTGAGTCCTGGGCCCAGAGCTGCTGTTTGTGCTCTCAGCAAGGGGGAGTGGGTTTCCTGGGGGGTTGTGCTGGTGCCAGCAGTGCCAGCCTGCAGAAGGGTCGCTTTTCCGTGATGTCTGTGCTGCTGCAGGTGCTGATCTTTGCTGAGAAGAAGGCAGATGTGGATGCCATCCACGAGTACCTGCTGCTGAAGGGTGTGGAAGCTGTGGCCATCCACGGAGGGAAAGGTCAGTGTGGGTGTCGGGGAGGCCTGGGCTGTGGTGTGCCCCTGCCTGACCCCGCTCCTGCCAGGGTGGTACGTGGCCACAGGAGGTCCCAGTGTGCAGCAGTTTGTGGTGGTGTGAGGAAGGGCTGTGACAGTGTCAGGAGGAAAAGCCACGCTGTATGCTGCGGGTATAATCACAGTGCAGGTCCCTAGGGGACCTAGAGGTCCCTCTGCTTCTTTATTTGGGGAAAGGCTGCATGTTTTCTCACTGGGGGAGTCCTGGTTGAGTGGTGCTTGACTCTGAGGCCATAGTGGTTGCCATGAGAGGTAGGACTGGGAGATCTGCCCTTGCTGATCTTCTCTGCTGGGCCTCTGCAGATCAGGAAGAACGAACAAAAGCCATCGAGGCCTTCCGGGATGGGAAGAAGGATGTCCTGGTTGCCACTGACGTCGCTTCCAAGGGTCTGGACTTCCCAGCCATCCAGCACGTCATCAACTACGACATGCCAGAGGAGATTGAGAACTACGGTGGGGACTGGGCCCCATGGGGGACCACTGAGGGCGCAGCAGGGTGGGTCTCTGCAGTGGCAGGGGGATGATCTGTCACGTTGCGTTCACCCAAGCCTGATCCTGTCTCTTTCTCCACAGTTCACCGGATCGGGCGTACGGGCCGTTCAGGCAACACTGGCATCGCCACCACCTTCATCAACAAGGCCTGCGGTGAGAAACGGCGCGGAGCTGGGCATGGGGGACCACTGAGGGCGCAGCAGGGTGGGTCTCTGCAGTGGCAGGGGGATGATCTGTCACGTTGCGTTCACCCAAGCCTGATCCTGTCTCTTTCTCCACAGTTCACCGGATCGGGCGTACGGGCCGTTCAGGCAACACTGGCATCGCCACCACCTTCATCAACAAGGCCTGCGGTGAGAAACGGCGCGGAGCTGGGGGCTGCCTGTGCGGGGGCTGTGGCTGTAGGAGGCAGCTGGGCAGTGGAGCTGCCTCTACCACAGCACTGGGGCTCGTCCTGAGCAAGCAGGGACGAGTCATGATGGCCTGTGGAGGGGAGATGGGACAGTGCCCCCCCGCCCTTGCTCGGGCCACGTCTGATCCCTTTCTCTGCCCCCAGATGAGTCGGTGCTTATGGACCTGAAGGCCCTGCTCCTGGAGGCGAAGCAGAAGGTGCCGCCTGTGCTCCAGGTGCTGCACTGTGGAGACGAGACCATGCTGGACATCGGAGGTGAGAGACCCTGGGCTGGCACAGGGACCTCCCACAGGGCTGCTGAGAGACCTGGACTGTGGACAGGACGCCCAGCTCCTGGAGGGGTTCCTGCCCGCCTCAGGACTGTTGTTGCCTGGTTGTGCGGGCAGCCCAGCCCTGTGACTGTGAGGGGAGACGCTGGTGTAGCCCCTCTGCTTCTGGGGTGGGGGGCTGCTTTCCTGGCATGGCACAGCTCCCCCTGACCTCATCCCCCTCGTTGCAGGTGAGCGGGGCTGCGCCTTCTGCGGCGGCCTGGGCCATCGCATCACCGACTGTCCCAAGCTGGAGGCGATGCAGACCAAGCAAGTCAGCAACATCGGCCGCAAGGACTACCTGGCCCACAGCTCTATGGACTTCTAGTCTGGAGAATGGGCTGCCCAGTGCTCCCCCTGTGCAGGCCCTGCTTCCCCTTCTGCCAGAGCACTGCCCTAGCTGTTCTCATCTTTGTCAAGCCCAGGGGCCTGTGCTGCACTGCTGTGGCCCCTTTTCAAGACGTTTGGCCACCAGGGCTGTTGCCAGCTCAGCCTGACGAAGCTCCTGCCCTGGGAGGAAACGTCTGGAGCTGTGCTGCAACAACCCATTACATCAGTGGCACATTGGGCAAGCAGGTAGCGGTGCCCAGTGTGAGGAGGAAGCCCCAGGTGAGGAGGTTGGTCTGTGTCTGGCTGTGTGCTGCCCCTGCCAGCCTCCTGCAGTGGCTTTGCCAGGGTCTTGCATTGCTCCTCTCCGAAGCCCCTCAGTTCCTCGAAGACCTCTTACCTGGTTTTGCGCATCCTTGGCTGGTGCCTGTCCCCATCTCCTCCTCCAAACGTGCTCGGATGCAGCCGGGGCAAGGCACAGCGTGCTGTGCTGGTGTCGGGCGGTCCCTTCAGTGCTTCCGGCGCTCTGCCTGCGCGTTCTGCCCCACTGCCCCTCTGCGGGGGGGAGGGCGTACAGACGGACATCTCCTGTGGCCCAGCCTCTGCCCCTCATCCCACACAGCAGAAAGGGGAAGTCGCTGAGAAGGAAGTCTGCCCCATGCAGTTGCTTTGGGTGCAGCAGTCACATTTTCTCTGCTGCTGGTAGCCCGAGTCACCCATCCTTGCGCTGGCTGCCAGGGCAGCACTGGGGCCATGGAGAGACCGGTAAAGGATGGGATCCTCTATGTGCAGCACTGCAAATTTGGAAAGGTAAAGAGTGGATTTGGGGCTGGGTACAGGGTTTGCCCTGATCTGTTTTGATGCCAGGCCTGGGCCCAGGTCCTCGTCAGCCTGGTAAGGGGGGACTGGAGCAGACTCCTCAGAGCTGCCCCAGGAGCGTGGCTCTTCCCACGGCCAAGGGGACTCATCCATGCAAAGGTAAAGAGTGGATTTGGGGCTGGGTACAGGGTTTGCCCTGATCTGTTTTGATGCCAGGCCTGGGCCCGGGTCCTCGTCAGCCTGGTAAGTGGGGACTGGAGCAGACTCCTCAGAGCGTGGCTCTTCCCACAGCCAAGGGGACTCATCCGTGCAGGCACCTGCTTGGGCGCACAGGGTCCTGCTTCTCGCTTGGTTGCCATGCGATTCACGATGAAATAAACGTGTGTTAATAAGGCGCAGCTCCAGCGTGTGTGGGAGCGGGGCAGCGCGTGGGACACGGCTCTGCACCCAGCCCTCCTTGAGTCCTGGGGTCAGCAGCGCCATCCGTGGGCACCCCTTGTGGCTTGCCCTGCTGCCCTGGGCCCTTGGGGTGGGCACTGACTGCCGCAGCCCCCAGCACAGCATGGGTGACATGGTGGGAGTCCTCGCAGGGTTGAGCCAGCTCTAGGGAGCTGTGAGATGGGTGTTCACGAAGCAGGTCCCACTGACGTGCTGGCCATGCCTTAGTGGCATCTCCTCTGCCATAGTGGGGTGGCTGTGCCCTCGTGGCAGACTCAGTGGATGTGCCGGGCTGTGATCGTGCTCTGACCTCCTTGCTGAGCGGGAAGCCAAGCCCTGGAGCTGAAGCGGGCAGACGCCGCATGCACGGGGCCAGTGCCCTGTGTGCAGGAGACAGGCGGGCTGGCGGTGGTGGGTATTTTGGGTGCTTGGCTGCATGTGGTTTCTGCAGGGTGGAGGCTCTGCTGCGCTTTTGGGGTGCACAGGGGCACACGCCCCCTCTATCCCATGATGGGCTGGGAAGGTGCTGGTGCCGCAGAGCCTCCCCTGGGAGGAAACGGGCTGCGAGCTGCAGGGCCTGGCTGTGCTCTGCAGATGCAAGGCTGCCAGCAGGAGCCCCAGCAGCTCAAAATGGCTTTAATTTGCATCAGGGTCTGTCCTGAGAACAGCTCAGAGCTCAGCTGC